CTACTCCCCAGTTCACTTTAAAAAAAAAATTCAGGCGAGCTCTGGTGGCCTAGTGGCAAGAAGCTGCACTGCAATCCCAGTGATTCACGGTTCAAATCCACCAGATGCTCTGCTGAAAAAGGAGGAACAATTTCCTCCTGTACCAGTCAGATCTGATTTGATGGTACACACACACAAACAAGAAAATAAAATAAAATAAAATAAAAAAAATTCATTGTTGCATGATCTTCAATTTTAAGCTAAGCACATTCACACATGACTAGTCTAAACCACAGAAAAGTTTCAATTTTACCTTGATAATTTGGAATGGGGATTTTGAAAGGCTTTGACAAAATGCTTCGAATATATGCTTCCTAAAAAAAGATAGAGGAGAAATAGGGATTCAGGACTGATAGGCAATGTTGTAGTATTTTTGCAAAAGCTGTCTAAAGGATCAAAATACATTCTGAGCAATGTATTTTCATTATGTGGCACTCAAATCTAGAACATAAGAAGACTGTACTTTCACATTTGTTTTTTTTTCAATAGCTTTCATCTTTGAGTTTTATGTAAGATTATGCAAACATCCCAGAGAGCAGAGTGTCACTGGCAGGTGTCTAACCTCAATCAAGCATGAGGCTCAAAACCCAATTAGTCATGAAAGATTACACCAGGGAGAACACCTCGATAGGTAAGCCCCACAAAACGTGTCCAACTTCAATATTAGAGAGCTCTATCTAGGTTCAACCCTTTTCCTATAAAGTACAGCTTCCCATGCATATTCTACAATCCCATTCTTTTTTCCTATCAATTCTACCTACTGTATCTAAAATATCCTAAGCATACTCCACAATCCTGTTTTTTGTCATTATCAATTCTACCTATTGCATCTAAGCTTTATCTTTCCTAAGAATTATTAGGAGTAACAGGAGCAGTTGTTGTTATGTATTATCAAGCCAGAATCAACTAATAGCTGACTCTCCAGCAGGTTTTCAGAGGCAGTAAATCACACGAGAGGAAACTGTCTATCTGTGAAGTAGCTGGATTGGGTTTGTTGTGTTTTTTTCAGTCACACTGCTTTGGGTTGGCAGGGCTACTCCTTAACACCAGAGGCCACCAGCACTTCCTAAAATAACAGCAACAAGGGGCACCAGAATATAAGCAAGAGAATACAAAGTAATATAATAAAATGTGCAAAGAATTAGAGTTAGAAAATCAAAAGAAAAGAACTCACTCAGCATTTCTCAAATCTAGAAAACCAAAGAACAAATAAATTTAAGCTTGGAGGATTAGTGAAGGATTCTATTAAAAAAATTTTAATGATCCAGGAAACATCAAAAGAAAATGGAAGGAATATATACAGTCACTGTACCAAAAAGAACTGGCTGACAGGGAAGCATTTCAGGATGTCGTATGTGATCAGGAACCAATGGTAATAATGAAAGATTAAACCAATTAAAGATGTTCAAGCTGCACTGAAAGTATTTAGCAAAAAGTAAGGCCTCAGGAATTGACAGACTACCAATTAACATATTCCAACAAATAGATCCAGCCCTGGATGTGCTAACCAGACTATGCTAAAAAAATGTGAAAGACAGAAAACTGGCCAACTGATTGGAAGAAACCATATTTGTTCCCATTCCCAAAAAGAGGTGATGGAACAGAATATGGAAATTATTGAGTATCAGTAATATCACATATAAGTAAATCTTGTAGAAGATTATTTTTTAAAACCCAGCTATGCTGCTACCAAGAGTACTCACTATGGATACAAGTAAAATGAAGTCCTTGACAATTTCAATCTTTTTCTTTATCACGATGTTGCTTATTGGTCCAATGGTGAGGATCTTTATTTTCTTGATGATGAGATGTGATCCATACTGAAGGCTGTAGTCTTTATCTTCTGCAGTAACTAAACTGAGAAAGTCTCCAGTAAGATGCCTCTCCAAAGTACTAAGAAGCAATGATGTTAGTTTGAAGACTAAGGTGCATCTGATTCAGGTTTTAGTCTTTTTAGTAACTTCCTATGCATCTGAGAGGTTGATAATGAATAAAGATGACAAAAGAATTGATACCTTTGAACTGTGGTGTTGGAGAAGAGTACTGAATATCCATGGACTGCCAAAAAAATAAATGTCTTAGAGAAAATGCAGGCAGAGTGCTCCTTAGAGGCAAAAATGATAAAGCTTCACCTCACATACTGTGGGCATGTTGCTGAGGGGCTATTCCTTGGAGAGGGACATCATGCTTGTAAAGGAGGAAGGGGTCTGGAGATGTAGCTCGCAGGAAGAGCACGGTGGCTCATGTGCCACGGCTTTTTGGTTCGGGTTCAGTAAAGGAGGAAGACCTTCACTGACACAGTGACTAATGCAATGAATTAGAATATGTCAGAGATGAGGATGGCACAGGGTTCAGATCTGTTGTTGATAGGGTCTTTTATTCAATTTGATGACACCTAAGTGCTTCAAGTTGTCTTCACTTTCAGCAAGCAAGGTTGTGTCATCTGCATAAATTGATGATCCTTCCTCCAATCCTCATGCCACATTCTTTTTCATATTGCCTAGCTTCTTGAATTTGCTTGTCATAAAACTTGAACAGGTATGGAGAGAGGCTATAGCCCTAATGTACAAATCTCTTGATTTTAAACCATATACTTGCTCCCTTGTTCTGTTCGGCCAACTGTTTCTTGTCTATAAATAGGTTTCTCTCGAGCACAATTATGTGTTCTAGGACACCTATTCTTTTCAATGTTTTCCTAAGAAATTTTTCTTAATTTCCTATGATCTACAAGGTCTTGTTTTAATTTTATTCCGCTTCAGTTAAAATTTGCACATGAGTAATGGTCTATTCCATAGTCAGCTCCTGGCCTTGTTTCAACAGCTAATATTGAGCTTCTCCATCGATTCTTTCCATAGATGTAGTAGTCAAAGTGATTCCTGTGTAGTCTATCAGTTAAGGTCCACGTGTATAGTCACCATTTTATATTTTTGAAAAAAAAGTATTTGTAACAAAAATAATTGATTGTACAAAATGACATCATTCACTCTCCACCCTCAATTTTGTTACCAAGTCTCTATTTTCCAACTATCAGTCCTTTTTCTTTGTTTCCAACTTTTACATTCCAGACACTAAGGTGACCCAACTGAGTGTGGAAACTACAGAACAGTGTCATTGATTTCACATGCAAGCAAGATTCTGCTGAAGATCATCCAAAAAACGATTAGACCAGCACATCAGCAGAGAACTGCCGGAAGTCCAGGCTGGGTTTAGAAGGGGTCGTGGTACTAGGGATAT